TTTTTTCTTTTCTGGAGATAGTTTCACTCTGTCACCCAGGCCGGAGTGTAGTGGCATGATCTCAGTTCACTGCAACCTTCATCTCCAGGGTTCAAGTGATTCTTGTGCCTCAGCCACCAAGTAGCTGGGACTACAGACACGTGCCAGCATGTCTGGTTAATATTTGTGCTTTTAGTAGAGACATGGTCTCTCCATGTTGTCCAGGCTGGTCTTGAAGCCCTGGCCTCAAGTGATCTGCCTGACTTAGTCTCCTACAGATATTTCTAGATACTTTTCTATAAATTTTTAAGCTTGGCCAAATGTACGATAATAAGGACCTGAGACTGAAAAAAAATTTATATTCTTTGACATTTTTATTTTAGGACTTTATTCCAAGTACATATTATGAAATTCCACTGGGGCTTTTTTCCCCTCCACCCCCCCGAGAGGGAGTCTTGCTCTGTCGCCCGGGCTGGAGTGCAGTGGTGTGATCTTGGCTCACTGCAACATTGCCTCTTGGGTTCAGTAATTTTCCTGCCTAAGCCTCCCAAGTAGCTGGGGTTACAGGAATCCGCCACGATGCCCAGCTAATTTTTGTATTTTTAGTGGAGACAGGGTTTCACCATGTTGGCCAGACTGGTCTTGAACTCTTGACCTTGTGATCCACCTGCCTTGGCCTCCCAAAGTGTTGGGATTACAGGCAAAAGCCACCACACCCAGCCACTTTTTGTCTTCTCTATCATGGCTGGGCAAACTGCAGGCCATGAGCGAAATCCAGCCTGCAGCATGTTTATGCAAAGCTTGTGAGCTAAGAATTTTTTTTTTTTTTTTGAGACAGAATTTTGCCCTTGTTGCTCAGGCCGGAGTGCAGTGGTGTGATCTCAGCTCACTGCAACCTCTACCTCCCTGATTCAAGTGATTGTCCTGCCTCAACCTCCCAAGTAGCTGGGATTACAGGCATGTGCCACCACACCCAGCTAATTTTGTGTTTTTAGTAGAGACAGAGTTTCACCATGTTGGTCAGGCTGGTCTTGAACTCCTGACCTCAGGTGATCCACCCGCTTCTGCATCTCAGAGTGCTGGGATTACATCATGAGCCACTATGCCTGACCTAAGAACGGTTTTCATTTTTTTAAAGGGTTGTAGAAAATAACAAAGATTATGTGATAGAGTCAGTATGTGGACAGCAAACTAAACTATTTATGCTTTGATCTTTTGCAGAAAAAGTTCAAATTTTATATTGTTAGCAATTGCAGACAACCTAAATAAACATATTAGGGTGTGGGATTAAATGGTATGCAGCCATTTTTTTTAAAGTACAATTTCCATTTTATTTTTTCTTTAGAGAATAGTCTGTCTTCAATCTTTAAGGACTCAGCTCCTTACGTGGGCTTTGGTGTGGGTCTTGGGGCAGCACCTGCAGGTCTAAATCAGGGTGGGCGTGGTCAGTCCTTGTGGGCTTTACTAGATCGATTCCTGTCTACTTTGGTGTGAATTGTACAACTCACACAGCAATGCAGTTTCACATACAGCTTGGGAAGCACAGAAGCATGGAGGATGCTTGCTTCAGAAATGTCCCTGACTGCTGCAGCCTCCACTATGTTTCAGATGACAAACTTTTTTTTTTTTTTTTAAAAGATGGGGTTTCACCATGTTGGTCAGGCTGGTCTTGAACTCCCTACCTCAGGTGATCCACCCGCCTTGACCTCCAAAGTGCTTGGATTACAGGCGTGAGCCACTGCGTCCGGCAGATGACAAACTTTTTAATGGCCTTGTCCTTGAGCACACATTGGGCACAGTTTGTGCAGCGAATAGGGTGCATGTGGCTGTGGCCCTTTTTGGCAGGACCATTGTTCCTTCTTTTCCTTGTCTTTTTGGAACCACATACCAGAGAGAGGAGTACAGCCATTATTGATCATATTTTTGAATAATATTTAGTAGACTCAGGAATTGCTTATTTGTAATGTCAAGTGGAATACAAAACTTTAACACAGTATGATTATAATTTTGTGAAAACCTATAAAGTATGTATATATGTATGAAAAAAAATTCTCTAATGTATAAATGGCGGATATTTTGAGATGGTGGCATGATACTTATATATTTCTTAATGTTTATGAAATCATATTTTAAAATTTTTCAATATTTTAACTGAGTGGGAAACATTTGCTGTCAAATAAGGATGTGCTGTCAAGTAAGTACCAGTCCAGGTACTTTAGAAGTAAAAGCTAATCTTACTAGGAGCAAGCCTTATTTTGCATGTGTAACTAGTAAAGCAGAAACAACAGTGTACTGTTCAGCAATAGTAATTATAGAGTACAGTTTTCCTACAGAAGAACAGAACCAGTAGGGGAATAGTTGAGTGCAATTTATAAATAAGTCAGTTGAAGAAGTCATGGACCCTTTACCTGTGGCTGATGAATTTAATGCTGAGAGTTAGCACAAATCTTTAACATTTAACAGCATGTGTGTGAAGCTGAAACTTGTAATGTTCTCATCTTTCATGTATTTTAGGGAAGTTGATGCCTAAAGTAAATTTATTAAAAATTCAATTTAATTATATAACACATTAATGGATTTTGTGCTCTCTTTGGCTTGGTTGTTCTTTAAGAATTTTAAGAGCTCTGTTCATAAATATCAGCCTTATAAAGTCCATTGTTCTATACCTGATTTTTCTATTTTATTTTTAAGGTCTTTTTGGTTCACCACGGGTGCAATATGTTGTAGATCATGCAATGAAAATTGTTTTCCTCAATACTGACCCCTCTATTGTAATGACTTATGATGCTGTTCAAAATGTGCATTCTGTGTGGACTCTTCGGAGAGTCAGATCAGAGGTAAGGAGAAAGGCAAGTCACTTCTCCATAGTAGAAAAGGGTAGGCTGGGTGCATTGGCTCACACCTGTAATCCCAGCACTTTGGGAGGCCGAGGTGGGCAGATCACTTGAGGTCAGGAGTTCAAGACCAGCTTGGCTAACATGGTGAAACTCCCTCTCTACCAAACATGTAAAAATTTAGCCAGGTGTGGTGGTGCCCGCCTGTAATCCCAGCTACTCAGGGGGCTGAGGCGGGAGAATCGCTTGAACCCAGGAGGTGGAGGTTGCAGTGAGGCAAGATTGCACCACTGTACCCCAGCCTAGGTGACAGAATGAGACTCTTTCTCAAAAAAAAAAAAAGGAAAGAGTAGTTAATACTTCATACCTTTACATGTTTTTGGAAATATCATTTGTGCATAGTTGTTTTATTATTATTATTATCATTGTCATAATCATCTTTAGAGACAGGGTCTCACTCTCTCACCCAGGCTGAAGTATAGTGGCACAATCATAGTTCAGTGCATCCTTGAACTCCTGGGCTCAAGTGATCCTCCTGCCTCAGCCTTTTGAGTAGCTAGGACTACAAGCAGGTACCACCACTCCCATCTAATTTTTAAATTTTTGTAGAGAAGGGGTCTTGCTGTGTTGCCCAGGCTGGTCTCGAACTCCTTGGCTCAAGCAGTCCTCTTGCCTCACCCTCCCAAAGTGCTGGGATTATCGATGTGAGCCGTAGCACGTGACCTCATTTGTGAGATAGATTGAGCTTCTTAGGAAAGAAAAAATATTGCGCCTTTAGTAACTGACTTCAACTTACATTCTTACAAAGAAATTGCTGTTTTGTTCTAATTATTGTCTTTTTTTCCTCCTCTTTATTTTGACTTAAGGAAGAGAATGTTGTTTTAAAGTTCTCTGAGCAGGGGGGAACCCCACAGAATATGGCCACTAGCAGCTCCCTCACAGCACATCTCAGAAGCCTCTCCAAAGGAGATTCCCCTGTGACTTCACCTTTCCAGAATTACTCCTCCATTCACAGCCAAAGTCGCTCAACCTCATCACCTAGTCTACATTCTCGCTCACCTTCTATTTCCAACATGGCAGCTCTAAGGTAGAAGGATTTCCTGGTTTTTCTTTTTAAGCTTTCTCTTTTGTTCTGAAGGATTTAGAATTTCTGTTGACAGCTTTTTTTAGGGGAGATATATTTAAGGGAGATATTTTTTAAGGGAAATAGCCATTTTCCCAGTTGAGCCACTTTTACTAAGATTTCTAAGTTTACTATGTCACTTTCTGTCCTAAGTCATATTTTGAAGCTGCTTCTGCTTGTCCTGAGATTGGTTGCTTCATTTCTACCACTGTGTGGACAGCAGTTCGATGAATATTAATTCCCAAAATATTGTGGCACTATTTTGTTTTTGCCTTAATTTATGTTAGTTTTTCTTTTGTTCTTGTTATTTGATATGCAGTTGTATGTATCTCTCTATATAGATACATATTTAAATCACCAGATATTTATATCTGGTGCTACAGGGACATTGGTTGGTTGGTATATATATGTCTCACTATACAGGGACAGTGTTTAGAGCTTTATGAATAATCAGTTCATTTTCCAAAAAAGATCATCTAATTTTTA